AAGTTTGGCAGCGCGGGCAGTGTGAAGGATCGATTGCTGTACAACGAGGGACCGATTCCGTGAGGGCTGGGTATCGATTAGGCCGCTTGAGGGCCGGATCTATTGCTGTTTACCTGCTCTTAAAATAAGTACCCGACGGTATGGTTCTTGCACTTGTGCAAGATTGGGCGTCTTCTGCAGCAGTCCCTTTGATGGGCGCAGCCGCCCGGCGCCGACGCGTGGGTGATCTCGCGCGAGCGGCGGGAGAGCAGCGGCCCGTCCCGCTTCGCGACGCAGGCCGCGGCGATCTGCTCGCTGGCGGCGGAGCTCGACGCCGGAGGGGTCGTGCTCGGCATGCCGTACCTCGCCGACGGCCGCCGCTCGCGAGAGTGCGAGCTGGTCGAGGCGGCGGCGGAGAGGCTGAGAGAGGCGGCGCCGACCGGGCTGCGCCTCCTGCTGTGGGACGAGACGTGGACCACCCGGCTCGCCCTCGGGCCGGGCCGGCACAGCGCCCGCCGCCAGCACTGGGGCCACGCCGCCGCCGCCTGCCTGCTGCTGCAGGACGTGCTCGGCGCGGCGGAGGTGCTCGCGTACGCAGAGAGGAGGAATGGAAGAGTGGAATGCTAGCAGCTCTGCATCTCTTCAAAACGCGTGTGCGGAGGCCGTCGTCCGAGCCGTGAGGCCCGTGTGCGTGCGTGCGTGTGGAGTATCTCTCTAGGTCACGCTGCCAGACGTGCGAGTCGAGAGTGCAGTCTGCAGAGTCCAGAGAGGTGCGGCACTCGACTATGCGGACACTCCACTCTGACGCATCCGGCCATGACATGTGCGGCAGCTCCTGCGTGCCGGCCGTTGGTCCGGTTGGACCTCTCTCTCCACGCACGCCTGCCACACACACACCCGCACGAGGCACACGTCACCGCGAGCCCGCGCCCCCCGCGGGCAGCGTAGAGCGTTGAGCGTAACACACACGGTCACTCTCGCTCGAGCTTTCGACTCTCTCGTGTCTCGACCTCCCCCCCGACCCGAGTCGCTCTCGAGCGTCGAGGAGCGGGGAGCTGCCAGCCGAGGCCCGAGGCACCTCGCCAGGCAGCCGCGTGGCGGGCTCACCCATCATGCATCAATGAAGGCATCATCCATCAAAAGCGATTAGGGGGTGCGATGTGGGCTGTGGGGGGTTGTGGCATGAGGGAGCCGATGCGGCACATGCGGATGCGCGAGGCCATATGATCTTACCTGCTGGCCATTTCGAGACATTCGCAAAGAACGCTAGCTACATGCCAACATGGGAGGGCTTCGTGAAGGATGGATTGAAAAACATTCGAACAAAGAAGAGGCGACGGGAGGAACCGGCAGAGGATGCAGTGACGTGACACACACACACACACACACACACACACACACACACACACACACACACACACACACACACACACACACACACACACACACACACACACACACACACACACACACACACACACACACACACACACACACACACACACACACACACGCACGCACGCACACACGCACGCACACACACACACTCACACA